TCTGCTGTTTATGTTACAGTAGAGAGAGTAGCCCTACATCCTGAATTAGTTTTCCAGTACATTCTAAGAGAGAGACCAAATCCCCCATCTCCTGTGTTGTAAATTAAAGGTCTTTAAACTAAAACAGGTAGTGTACATGATTAGCATTGCCATCTGCCCAGCTGACCTGATTGACTGTAGTGGGGGAAATATGGAAGTCCTCAGTGAGCTCCTATCCTTGGGTCTCCATCCTCGCTGCTACAGTAGGGCTCCCTCAGTTAGACGTGATTGACTGTCAGAAGCAAATGTCACTCTAACAGTGATGCACGGCGAGGAGAGGAAACATCAGCAACCAAGGAGGAAATGGCAGGCTGTCCAACAGCAACATGACACTGTGGTTTGAACTAGTTCATTAAGCAGCCCAGTGTATTCGGAACTCTCTCTCTCTCTCAGGCTATGGTCTCTGTGGGGGCCCTGTCAGTGGACAGGTGCAGGGCCACTTCTCTTTATTAATGACAAGCAAAGTAAAGCAACCTGCACAAGGAGCTATTCTGGCTCCCAGCCAGCTATACGCACTGGGGTCGGAGAGGGAGGAGGGTGGAGGGTATACGGCGGAATGCAGCCATGCACCTTAGAACTGACAAATGCCCAGGCTACTCCACCACACTCCAGCGCCACTGTGACAAATGGGGTTTGAACACACAAAACACAGGATGGATTGAGTTCCTCAGAGGGCAATGGTTTCAGAAAGGCAATGTGTTGAAGTTTGTGGAGTGAGGAGACTGGGCTCGTAAAAGCTAGGGCTCCCTGTTCGTGAACATAACAAGGCTTTTCTTTTCCCACCGGTTGTTTTATTGTCCCAGGTGAAAGGCATTAGTACATTCAGAGGCCTCGCCATTGATCAGAGTAAGTACAATAATACAGTAAGAATGTACACATGGCCTCAAATAAACTCTATAACCACTGTATTTAAGCCATTTAACAGAAATACATTTTTATTCTGAAATAAATAACATAATAATCATAACTTTATCAAGGAATCTTAAGGAAGACGTCTGTAATAATGTGCCATTTAGCAGACGCTTTTATCCAAAGCGACTTACAGTCATGTGTGCATACATATAATATGCCATTTAGCAGACGCTTTTATCCAAAGCGACTTACAGTCATGCGTGCATACATTTTTTTTTGTGTATGGGTGGTCCCAGGGATCGAACCCACTACCCTGGCGTTACAAGCGCCATGCTCTACCAATTGAGCTACAGAGGACCACCTTAAGGCATCTGCATTTCGACATTTCTGTAGCGTAATAACAATGGATTATAGTATGTAGGCTTACTGTATTATTATTATTATTATTATTATTATTATTATTATTATTATTACACATCCTGCTCTCAGAGTGCAGAGCAGAATTACACTAAGGACATAAACTGGAGTTAGATGTCTTTGTGCCTTTGTCTGTGTGGTTCATCTTAGAACAGCCGAGCCCAGCAGAATGAAAAACAGCATGTTGGGTGAATACAATGCAAATCTATTTCTGTCAACAGAAATCAACTCCAGGCAATTACAGTCTATTGTGTGCATTTGATTATTTTAGAATTAAGCGGAGTCTTAAGCTGCCAGTTATAGAGACATTCATCAGTTGTCTTGCAGGGTGATTTAAATGTCTTGTTGTGTTCTCGTCCTCCTAGCTTTCTCCACCCTCGCTTTGTCTGTTTTCGCCAGCTGCTGACTCTGGGACAGTTATGAATTGATGCTCTGGTAATGGACTGCGGGATTCACTCAAATAAACAAGACAAACAGGGGAAGGAAATGTTTGGTTTTCCCTCCATCCTTGTTTTATTTCCATCCATTATTCCCTGATTATTGATGTAAATGAACAGGGTAATTTGTTTCCAGCCAAAACTGAAACGAAACTTATTCTTTCTCATTACGGACCTCTTCAGAAGATGTCGTTTTTTTCCCTGTGACATGATTGCCTTTCTAATTTCAATATCATTATCATATGATTGTGTTATTTTGACCTGATTTCTGTTCTAGACCTCTTATGGCAAGCTCAAATGAAAAGGCATTTGAGCATGTAGAAAGAGGGGTTTGTTATCTACATAGAAATCACAATTGGAATGGTTTTTGATTTTTATATCGACCGTGACATAGTGAATCATTAAAAATAATAGTTTACAGTGGAACACTCCTCAAGTGTGAAATGTTTTTATATGTTTCTGTTTCACATATTCAACAGCATTCTGTCATGTTGGCTAGTGGTTCAATATATAACCTGCCAAACAAAGCTCACATACAGTGAGGGAAAAAAGTATTTGATCCCCTGCTGATTTTGTTTGTTTGCTCACTGACAAAGAAATAATCAGTCTATAATTTTAATGGTAGGTTTATTTGAACAGTGAGAGACAGAATAACAACAACAAAATCCAGAAAAACGCATGTCAAAAATGTTATAAATTGATTTGCATTTTAATGAGGGAAATAAGTATTTGACCCCCTCTCAATCAGAAAGATTTCTGGCTCCCAGGTGTATTTTATACAGGTAACGAGCTGAGATTAGGAGCACACTCTTAAAGGGAGTGCTCCAAATCTCAGCTTGTTACCTGTATAAAAGACACCTGTCCACAGAAGCAATCAATCAATTCCAAACTCTCCACCATGGCCAAGACCAAAGAGCTCTCCAAGGATGTCAAGGACAAGATTGTAGACCTACACAAGGCTGGAATGGGCTACAAGACCATCGGCAAGCAGCTTGGTGAGAAGGTGACAACAGTTGGTGCGATTATTCGCATTGGAAGAAACACAAAAGAACTGTCAATCTCCCTCGGCCTGGGGCTCCATGCAAGATTTCACCTCGTGGAGTTGCAATGATCATGAGAACGGTGAGGAATCAGACCAGAACTACACGGGAGGATCTTGTCAATGATCTCAAGGCAGCTGGGACCATAGACACCAAGAAAACAATTGGTACACACTACGCCGTGAAGGACTGAAATCCTGCAGCGCCCGCAAGGTCTCCCTGCTCAAGAAAGCACATATACAGGCCCGTCTGAAGTTTGCCAATGAACATCTGAATGATTCAGAGGAAAACTGGGTGAAAGTGTTGTGGTCAGATGAGACCAAAATTTAGCTCTTTGGCATTAACTCAACTCGCCGTGTTTGGAGGAGGAGGAATGCTGCCTATGACCCCAAGAACACCATCCCCACCGTCAAACATGGAGGTGGAAACATTATGCTTTGGGGGTGTTTTTCTGCTAAGGGGACAGGACAACTTCACCGCATCAAAGGGATGATGGATGGGGCCATGTACCGTAAAATATTGAGTGAGAACCTCCTTCCCTCAGCCAGGGCATTGAAAATGGGTCGTGGATGGGTATTCCAGCATGACAATGACCCAAAACACATGGCCAAGGCAACAAAGGAGTGGCTCAAGAAGAAGCACATTAAGGTCCTGGAGTGGCCTAGCCAGTCTCCAGACCTTAATCCCATAGAAAATCTGTGGAGGGAGCTGAAGGTTCGAGTTGCCAAACGTCAGCCTTGAAACCTTAATGACTTGGAGAAGATCTGCAAAGAGGAGTGGAACAAAATCCCTCCTGAGATGTGTGCAAACCTGGTGGCCAACTACAAGAAATGTCTGACCTCTGTGACCTAAGTCATGTTTTGCAGAGGGGTCAAATACTTATTTCCCTCATTAAAATGCAAATCAATTTATAACATTTTTGACATGCGTTTTTTCTGGATTTTTAAAAATGTATTCTGTCTCTCGCTGTTCAAATAACCCTACCATTAAAATGATAGACTGATAATGTCTTTGTCAGTGGGCAAACGTACAAAATCAGCAGGGGATCAAATACTTTTTTTCCCTCACTGTACATGCACGCCTGATTGGCAGACATTGAAAGAGCAACAAAGCTCTCAAACCACTCCATCCAGCGGTTGTATCAGGACATGATTATCATGTTAGTTGAGTACACAAAGATTTGACTCTACCAGATGTCTCTTTGATGTCCACTGTTTCTCTCCCTTGACGTCCTACTGTCTCCCTGGGGTGCCCTGGTTCTTCTTTATGCCTCCTGCACAGCTAGCTCCTTGATCAAGGCATGTTGGCAGTGTCCTTCTTTCTTCCCATACTAAGGAATGGTTCGGCAAAGTTGTAGGCTAATCATGTTATGTACTACAATACTATTTTATATTTACATGGATCAAAGAGCCCTTAAATAGTATGCATCTTTTTGAGAAATACATACCCTACATACATTATATCGCTGTATAATTTTATGCAATCCACGAGTCATACAACTAATAAAACGTTCAAATTTAGGCTGTTACTTCAATGTGCTTGAGATCAGTAATTTCATGAAGAAATGATATAACTGTTGACAAGTCTTTCCCCTCTGTATAGCACTAAGACGTTTGTAACCTACACACAATACGCTGTGGCATTATTTAACTCACTAGTCCCTCTGCATTACTGAGTAATGTGCTGTAAAAGAATGTGCCTGAGCCATATTAAAATTCAAGAGACTGGGAAAACAAAACAGTGTAATACCCTATCAAATATCCCTACAGAGTGTTCGACATGGCAAATAAATTCTAATCCGTTTTGTGGTCTGGACGGGCCTCTGTGGTCAAGTCGATTTATTTAAAATGGCCTAAGTTGTGCGTTGATAAACTGCCTTTCCAGCTCAATAACAGGGAGGGGGCCATAACCCTCCCCCCATCTCCATATTTATTTCCCTCTGATAAGATTGGTTTTGTCTGCGCCAGAGTGTAACTCATTTCTGGATTCATATTGAAATGACTGCTACCTCTGGTCCCCAATTTTATACCTGTGTAAAGATACATGTCCACTGAAAGCTATTCATTCCAATTTTTCAAGAAAATAATAAACAAGCTATCAAATGCAAGTCGGGGACTGAAATTGCACATCAGCACAAAGTATTTGGTGGGCTATAGCTCTGACATTGACTTTTCCCTCCTCTCAGCTGTCATGGCTGAAATTGCTATACTGCTTCATGATAGACTTGGCCAGTGTGCAGCAGCCAGGTCAAGCTATTATTATTGCAGCAGGTGCTGAGTTCTACACAGGATTTTACAATGCATTGGGGTTCTGTGTTGGGCTTAGTAGCTGTGAGGGCTGACGACCAGCAGCTAAACACCTGATGCACTGGATGACAGCCTCTTTGTGACGACACACACTGTGTGTGTGTGTGTGTGTGTGTGTGTGTGTGTGTGTGTGTGTGTGTGTGTGTGTGTGTGTGTGTGTGTGTGTGTGTGTGTGTGTGTGTGTGTCCGGCCGTGCTCCTGCGTCTGTGCGTATTCGTCTGGATTTCATTATTTCATTATTTAATTTCGTCTGCTGCCTTTATTCACCTTTTTAGCAGGCTATATTTCAGTTTTTCAGTTGCTTTACTTGAAAAGTTGAGAAAGTTAATGGACAGTTTCAGGACATTGGGTTATTATATAACATAAGTCCGCTCTGTCCACACCAGTGGGCTGCTAAGGTTTTGCAGCTATCTTTATGACAGTGCCCTTTCCTTACTTCCTCACTCATACTTAATTCTAAGTTATTTTCAGACTCAAATTTGGGCCACATCCATATGCAAATATCAAAGGTGGCACTGTGCAAATAGGGATCCGGTGCAGCAGCTGACTGGAATGATATATCTGGCCGTGTTAGGCCTTGTCGTCGCAATTAATGGCTCCCCTCCTAAACCCTGCCACAGTGGCAAACACAAGAAGGCAACAATGATTGAATCATCCAGAAAAGTGCATTGCGGCTGTGACCTCGGGCAACATATGGCTGCTTCTCCGGCGCCCGTTTATGTAATCTGTAACCTGTGCACTCAGCGTTGGTTCACTCTGCCTTTTGTCTGAAAGACAACACATTAACCTAGCAGACCGGACTAATGTGTACTGCTTCTGCTTCTCTTGCATCTCATCTTCCACACGCCTGAGCTCTCACAAATAAACTCAGGGAACATCACCTCCCATCGTAACCCCTCCCCTTGGCTCCAGCCTACAGTTTGGAGCCATCACCTCCTCCTCATTTGATTGATGCCACTTCCCCTCATCAATTTTTATTACCTGGCTGTGTCTGTAATTAATTTCCAACCTGGCGTGAGAAAAATTATCAGAGTAAAATGTATATAACAAAATCTGTACTGTAAATCGGCCTTGGTGGTGGGAGACCTCAACACAAATGACAGTGGACAGATTTTGAATGTATACACATTTTATGGGACACAGAGAGCGTGGAGATGTATTACCTGGAGTCTGTATGAACATACTTCTGTAATTGCATTGATGTGCAACCGCGTTTCTGTGTCGATTGGGGCTGCCAGCATAAAATGAGGCATACCCTACTTTTCTCTTCTAGTTTATTTCCTTATTTTTGATCCTCTGACTCAAAGGCTATTATGACTGATGACAAAAAGACTGACTTCATGTCTTCAATGAGTTGTCCAGTCATGTTACTGGCTGACCTGGCATTTGGGTTTGTAATGTGAAAGCACATACTGTACTGTAGTCACGCAATGGGGAGAGTAGCTTTTCATTTTAGGCAATTCACTAGTCATTTTTGTCCATAGATATACAGTACAGTTAAAACGTTTAATTACAGTAGTTATGATTTGAAAATGAACTGTGTTCATTGTAGAGTATATTGCCTTCTTTGCCTTGCCTCAAGGCTTTATTTGCCTGTCTTCTACAACAGCAGTTCCTTCGATGCTAAGTGGTTTATCCTAAATAACCATGCATTAGTGTGACAGTGGCTACGACCTTCCCTACCTCTCCATCTCATATGCTATTATTGTTTCACTGGTTCACAGGTTCCTGTGTTTGTTTTTTACCACTCCTCACCTATGGATGAAAATGGAGAGAGATGACAGAGGCTGCACATTTCTGAGTAGAACGTGAAATGCCTTTGAAGCCTAGCTAGAGAGCTCCCATTTTTGGAGGCAAATTAAAATCCAAATGGAGGAGATTAATGTGTGATAAGATGACAATCATCCTAATGCATGGCACTAGTGTGAATACTTTAGGCTTCATTTGAATTTGACCCCCACGGTATAGGTTTAGTTGCTTCCATTGTCTATAGAACCATTATGCTCCTGGGTTTGCATTGCTCCAATATGTAGGATAAGGTTTAGGCTCTTAGTTCCTTGTTTTAGTGTGAGTAGTATTGCATACTCCAACAACCACTCTGTTTCCATCAGTTCCTAACCATGTACTACTTCCTCCTCCATAGTGGATGGCTGCATTGATTGGTCGGTGGACCTGAGGAGGTACCGGGTCCTAGCAGGGGAACCAGTGAGGGTGAAGTGCGCCCTGTTCTACAGCTACATCAGGACCAACTACTCCATGGCCCAGAGCGCCAAGCTCCGACTCATCTGGTACAAAAACAAAGGGGACTCGGAGGAGCCTATCATCTTCTCCGGCCATCGGCTCAGCAAGGAGGATGACTCCATCTGGTTCCGCTCAGCTGAGCTGGAGGACAACGGCTTCTACACCTGTGTCCTGAGGTGGGTTTATTTAGTCCCTCTGTCTCTGAGGAGTTTCATTTAAGCTTTTCTTAACCCACAACCAAACAAACACACTTTTTTCCCCCTATCATTCACAGTCCATTGGCAGCCCAACTTTTTCAGGAACTGAATTAATCGGGTAACAGTTCATGACGGATCCTGGCCCCAGTGGTCCCACCCACATACATTACAGTAGTTTGAGAGGCCCTAATTTACCTATCTACTTTACATCTACTTTCCAAGGCTACTGGTAGTGTGCCAGTATGTCTATTGTTATGTTAAACATCCCCCTCTTTGCACACCCAACGCAAGATGGCACACAGCATAAGGAGGAGGAAGGGATCCTCATCCTCATCGCATTCCATGTTCAGTTTCCTCGTGGAGGAATGCATGACTGGCCTTGCGAGGTTGGTTCACCCCTGCAAGGCTCAACAGGGACACTGAACTGTGGGTGACTCGTGTTGTGGAACATGTAACTGACATTCCACAAAAGAATAGGCTCTGACAAAATAATTAATATCAAATCAATGATTCCTGTAGGTTCTATGCGAGGAGTTGTGTTGTTAGAATTTCCTCCTCGGATTATGACATCAAACTACATGCAAATCATTCGATTAATAAATCGAAGGTATTTTTATAACATCTCTGAAAAATATTTTCATGGTTATTAGCTACTAGAAAATAGGTACCTCGTCGAGGAATAAGAAATTAGGATATCTTACTCAATTATCTTACAGAGGCTTCAGCAAAAATCCTCTTTCCACAGATGATAATCCAGCTCCTCTCTGACAAAGCTGATGCTTCTCCCTGGCCAATAATAAGGGTTTTCTCCTCTGGAAAGAAGTGCAGCTCTTAATTCCCCTCACGCTATGCTGACAGTCTAATTAGGAGCAGGATCCTGTCACTTTCACTGGACCTCTTGTTATACTTACTTTCCCACCCAGTTGGACAAAGCCGCCACAGCTCAGACAGCCAAGCACAATGCATTCCAATGTGTTAGCTAGCTAGAGAGTCATCAAGCTGAGCTTTCTTTTTTGCCTGGTGAATGACAGATTTGGAAGGAGAAGAAAAAACACATGAAATTGAAATGGCATGTCCCTGTGCTATGTCTTACTGAATGTAATATATACAGTGCTGTATTTCTATGAAGTAATCTCAACATCCTACGAATTGAAGTAACTGTCTGTGAAAGACGTTCAAGGTGAGAAGAGAAGAGAAGTCTCTTTGCATGTTTTTATTTCCATTAATGGTGATTGAACCAAAGAAGCAGGAATCCAAATAAATTGTGTTTGGGGTTTTGGGTGATTCCCATGCAGTTTTTTAAAATAATATCAAAGAATACAATAATAATAATAGTAAATAGGATCAGCATACAGAGAAGCAGGTAATTGGGTATTCTCTGTGAAACAGGGGAGCTGTGCAGGAGCTGTGACACGCTTCTGAGAGAGTTGTTGTAAAATAACATTGGCAGAGGCTGCTGTGCCTGAAATGACAGGATTGACCTGCAGGAGGGGAAGTCTCAGGATAATGCCCAGGCCAACTACAAAGACCACTTGGAATAAAACACACATGCACACCTACTGTACACACACACACACACAAACAAACATACGTATACACATACACTACACACACACACACATACAGTGCCTTCGGGAAAGTACCCCTTGACTTTTTCCACATTTTGTTACGTTACAGCCTTATTCTAAAATGGATAAAAATATATATATAATCCTCAGCAATCTACACACAATACCCCATAATGACAAAGTGAAAACAGGTTTTAAGAAATGTTTGCAAATGTATTAAAAATAAATCAATACCTTATTTACATAAGTATTCAGACCCTTTGCTATGACACTCGAAATTGACCTCAGGTGCATCCTGTTTCCATTGATCATCCTTGAGATGTTTCTACAACTTGATTGGAATCCACCTGTGGTAAATTCAATTGATTGGACATGATTTGGAAAGGCACACACCTGTCTATATAAGGTCCTACAGTTGATAGTGCATGTCAGAACAAAAACCAAGCCAAGAGGTCGAAGGAATTGTCCATAGAGCTCCGAGACAGGATTGTGTCGAGGCACAGATCTGGGGAACTGTACCAAAATATTTCTGCAGCATTACATTTTAGTATACGCTGTTATCCAGAGCAACTTACAGTTAGTGAGTGCATAAAAAAAAAAATTTCTTCCCATACTGGCCCCCTGTGGGAATCGAACCCACAACCCTGGCGTTGCAAGCGCCATGCTCTACCAATTGAGCTACACGGGAACCATTGAAGGTCCCCAAGAACACAGTGGCCTCCATCATTCTTAAATGGAAGAAGTTTTGAACCATCAAGACTCTTCCTAGAGCTGGCCGCCCAGCCAAACTGAGCAATCGGGGGAGAAGGGCCTTAGTCAGGGAGGTGACCAAGAACCTGATGGTCACTCTGACAGAGCTCTAGAGTTCCTCTGTGGAGATGGAAGAATCTTCCAGAAGGACAACCATCTCTGCAGCACTCCACCAATCAGGCCTGTATGGTGGAGTGGCCAGACGGAAGCCACTCCTCAGTAAAAGGCACATGACAGCCCGCTTGGAGTTTGCCAAAGGCACCTAAAGACTCTCAGACCATGAGAAACAAGATTCTCTGATCTGATGAAACCAAGATTGAACTCTTTGGCCTAAATGCCAAGCATCACGTCTGGAGGAAACCTGGCACCATCCCTATGGTGAAGCATGGTGGTGGCAGCATCATGCTATGGGGATTTTTTTCAGCGGCAGGCACTGGGAGACTAGTCAGGATCGAGGCACAGATGAACGGAGCGAAGTACAGAGAGGTCCTTGATGAAAACCTGCTCCAGAGCGCTCAGGACCTCACACTGGGGCGAAGGTCCACCTTCCAACAGAACAATGACCCTAAGCACACAGCCAAGACAACACAGGAGTGGCTTCGGGACAAGTCTCTGAATGTCCTTGAGTGGCACAGCCAGAGCCCGGACTTGAACCCGATTGAACATCTCAGGAGAGACCTGAAAATAGCTGTGCAGCGATGCTCCCCATCCAACCTGACAGAGCTTGAGAGGATATGCAGAGAATAATGGGAGAAACTTCCCAAATACAGGTGTGCCAAGCTTGTAGCGTCATACCCAATAAGACTTGAGGCTCTAATCGCTGCCAAAGGTGCTTCAACAAAGTACTGAGTAAAGGGTCGGAATACTTATGTAAATGGAATACTTTGTAAATGTGATATTTCTGTTTTTTATTTTGAATAAATTAGCAAAAATGTCTAAAAACCTGTTTTTGCTTTGTCATTATGGGGTATTGTGTGTAGATTGATGAGGGGGGAAAACAATACATTTTAGAATAAGGCTGTAACGTAACAAAATGTGGAAAAAGTCAAGGGGTCTGAATACTTTCCGAAGGCACTGTACATACACATAGCACACACATACATACACACACACACACTTGTACACATGCACACACACACACTAGCCCTGCCATCGAGGCCTTGATGGCAGTTATATAGAGTACCAGCAATGCCCTCTGTTTTATTAGAACATGAACAGTGACTAATCATGCCTGTATGCCAGTGTAACCCACAGCACCAGCATGACATGTTAAGCAGTAGTCAACGAGTCGATGCAATCTGCCCGGCTAATGCACCGCAAGAGACAGATTCACCTACCCCTTTATTTCTCATTCTCTCCAGCGAGGCTAGTCTGAGCAGCACTGATGTCGGGAGAGGCATTTCACACCTTCTCTCTAACAATGGATACGCATTTAGCTCTGTTCAATAACTTTAGGTGGAGGAAAAATACAACACGTTCCCACTGTCTGAGTGATGCCTCTTGAAAGACTCCCGAGCACTTTTATATTCATTATCTTCCACTGTGCCCGGCCAGGCCGGCTGCCTTGTGGTTTTTTTCTTCTGTGTTCTCACTAAACTGTGGCCAAGCCTGAGCTAGACTATTCCCACAGAGGTCTGAAGAGTAATCTGTGCCACCTGTTCTTTTCTCCCCTCATAAGATAGTTCTCCTCTCTACAATTGCCCGGGTGTCACAGACCTCTTCTTACAAAGCGGTCCAGGTTTTTAACCTTTCTATTAATCTGGCCATCCAGGACCCCGTTAGAGAGAGAGCCAGAGAGAAAGGCGCTTCGGTGCTTGGCACAGTCTGAATCCACGCTACCATGCCTGCCAGTTCTTTTCAAATATTAAACACACAGGCTTTAGCTTTGACATTAATCAACTTTTAAGCTCTCTCAAAACCTAATTTATATTTATTGTGGGCTGAGACAATTTTTTATAAATGTCTACAAAGAGGGAATGGAGAGTAATTGGTTTGGCTTTCATGGAATCACATCTAAGAGAATCTTACTTAAGATGTATTTGTTTTATCTATGGGTATCTTACTAAACTTACCAAACAATGGTTGAGCAGAAGGTTTTCAATAAATACATTACAACTGGTCTAGACTTCAACAGTCAATGTTAAAACACTATGTGTTCCAACATACTAGACTAGGAGTAATCTTTTCGAAATGTGAAGCTTCACAGTATGATACTGCGCTTAAAAGGTAGATAGTCTTTTAAGAAAAAATCAATCCAAATAAAATAAAATCATTATTTTTCAATGATGGATTGCTCTCTTGTGAGTGAATGTTAGAAAATACATTCTGAGACAGTATTATTGAGAACTAAAACCCATTTAGTTATTTTCTCAGACAAATTGCAAAAACCTCTTGTTCTTTCTTTGTTCAGTCTGGGTCAAACAGATAGAGATTCTCACAGAGAGGCAGCGTGGCTGAGATGTTCAGTCATAAGCCCCTGACTTGCAGAACATCATATGTGACTCACTGCCTCGATTCAGTCTTATGTAGCAGCATTTTAAAAGTTTTTTTATTTTTATTTTTTTACATTGGATGAAAGTAGAGTCTCAGAGCTAGAAAATGGTATATGATACAGTTGAGGAACAATGGGAAAGTTATTTTGCTTTGAAAGTTGATAAACTTGTAACCCCACTTTTGAGAAAATGGCCCTTGAATGTTTTGGCACACCTACTGGAGGGCTCTTCTTTGTCTACACCCATTGAGCATTGTTCACACCTTCTTAAGCCTGTAGTAAACAACCAAAGATTTCAAGACTAAAAGTCGTGAAAGTAGTAGCAAAAAGTAGTAGTACAAATAGAGTGTACTCCCGAGTGGCGCAGTGGTCTAAGGCACTGCATCGCAGTGCTAGCTGTGCCACTAGAGATCCTGGTTCGAATCCAGGCTCTGCCGTAGCCGGCCGCGACCGGGAGACCCATGGGGCGGCGCGCACAATTGGCCCAGCGTCGTCCAGGTTAGGGGAGGGAATGGCCGGCAGGGGATGTAGCTCAGTTGGTAGAGCATGGCGTTTGCAACGCCAGGGTTGTGGGTTCGATAAAATAATGTATGCAATAACTGTAAGTCGCTCTGGATAAGAGCGTCTGCTAAATGACGTAAATGTAAATACACTTTATCTAGTCATTGGCCTATATACTAATCTATTTGGTGCAGGTCATGTTGTTCTCCACATTACCATCTCTGGTAAACACACACTATATCAAATAAACTCAAAGTCTATTTGTCACATGCAGAGGATACAGAAGGTATAAACGGGGAAGTGAAATGGTTACTTGCATATTTGCATAGTAGCAATATCAAAAATAGACAGTGTCCAGATAAAAAATATATAATTATTTGATTATTCTTACCCAGACACACTTGTCTAAATTGATGGGTCATGTGAAAGAAATGCTATAACCACCCCCCAGCCACATCTAGCTAAGTGGATGGGTCACTATTGTCTAGACATGTAAACAAGTTCATGAAATACAATAGATGGCCGTAATCACCCCCAGACACACCTGGCTAACTTGATGGGTCATGTAATAATCTGGCGATGTGGAGTCTTTTGTTTAGACATGTATCTAGATAGCTAGCTAAACAATTAACCATAATTCCCAACCCATACAGTACTAGCAATACAAACTGATTGTCATAGCTAGCCACCATGCATGAATCTGCAGGTAGCCAAAGCTAACCAACAAGGTTCAATGTTAGCTAGCTAGCTAACAGTTGAGGAACAATGGGAAATTGTGTAGGTCAGTTTGACAAAATTTGACAAAATTAGAAACGTATAATATCTGAAAATGTAGCTAGACTCTTACCCTTATACTGTACATGGATGAACGCATCATGGGCAGACTACTACCTCTTTATCAGCTTGTTTGGCCCGCATTGTGTCAAGTCACTCCGGTTCACACTGACCGTAGTAGTAGTCCATCACAACTTTTTCCCACTGATCTTTGTCTATAGCGCCTGCTAAAATTCAGGGCAGCCATGTTGTTGAGAACAGTCCAACGTTATATATTTCAAAAAAGCTGCGGTAGACAGGATTATCTTCACCTACTGAGCAGCTCACATTATAGGCAGAAGCATGCTATATGGCAGACCAATCCGAAATCATCTCTCGGCATGTCCAGCCCATCCAATCATGGCTAGCGGGAAGGTTCCTGTCTTTTTCCGTGGCTAAACCAACTAGGCTCATCATTTAACCATTTTATTTGTATTTACAGATTGCATACAAGTTTGTTATTAAGGCACATGAAAGTTCACGTTCCAGAAGGCATTTCAAATGCCTCTCCTGTGAAGTAGTGATGTGCGATATATGCCTAGTTTCTTGAAACGGGTCACATATAGCATGTTATATCTCCAGGAGAGGAGTCACCTTGACTCTGGCTGCGGGTAGATAGATAGCTAGCGAGAACGACCACCCGCTTGTCATGGTACACAGCACCTTTACTACATGGTGTGAAGCCTTGTGTTCTGTGTTCATCGGGACGGGGTAATCTCACCCACTTTATTCCCCGTCTGAACACTTATACTGTCATCTGAAATACTGGGGTGTCCATGCCATTAACTGGCCAGGTCTCCAGAGATTGGAGAGGGAGCGTGTTGTCTTTTGCTGGACCACTGCCCTCTGTCCTTGTCCTAACCCCCTAATTATACGTCCTAATTGGCATTTTGAAGAATAATCTTTTGGAAATGTTTTGACGTCTGAGTTGTGCGGTTGGACTCATGCTCTCCCGCCAGCGTGTCTGATGAAAGGCTGTCTGTCTAGAGACTCTGCACAATGATGGTCATGGACAATGGCCCCCTCTGTATAAGAACACTACTGTGTGTTTGTGTGACAACCGCACAGAAAGCATATTTGAGGCTGGAGAAAATCTGCCTCTATCTTTGATGTGCTGCTCTACATAGCAGCCCCAGAGGGGCCGACCTGTTAACCCTTTCAACCCACGCACCCATTTCACCTTGAACATCACACAAACCCATTGATCCAGGCTGAACCAACCACTGCAGATTGGTGATCTGGAAAGATTTTTCCACAAACAATGGCCCATGAGTCAACAGAAACATCATTGTTTGTATTGGTAAGGTGTTCTGATTCTTTCACTCATTGACCTGTTTGTTTTCATGGCTTTTCAACAACTGTTTTTCATTTCCTTGTAACATTTTGTTTCTGCTCGGTGTGTAGTACGAAAGAGAGAGAGAGAGAGAGAGAGAGAGTTTTATTTATTAAATTTTTTTTAAGGTCATTTACATCGGAGGTTTAATAGCTAAAGGAGTTGGGCCATCATGGTTAATTCTTAGTTAGAGTGGTTCCTATTGAAATTAAATTGGTGGCTCATACTCTCTGAAATATTTAGAACTCCTCTTTAAAACTTTACTAAATTTATCTCTTCTTCCCTCTCTTACAGGGAAATGGTAGAAATATAATTTCTACCCCATTTTAATCAATGGAATTGGCCTACATTTAGATTCTAAATGTAGGCCAAAATAAACATCTGTAAAATTATCCCTCTCTGAAATCCATATTTATTAAGCCCCTTTATTAAGTTCAACGAGTTTGCTGTGTTATTTTCAAACTCCAGAGCAAGCGAGGCAGGAGATTGCATAGGAAAGTTTCTCCATAGAGATTTTGAGGGACTTGTTATAGCACCTGGGGACGTGATAAAACCATTCATAAGCTCATAAAGCTTTAGCGTTGCGTCATAATTCATACCAATAGAATCAACCATTTCAAACTAACCTACATAATTAGCTTTTATTCCTTTTCCATCATTGACAAACAGATGGACAAGTGCCTTCTCATTAAATATAATGTTTAATCTCAATGAAAAATGTGTGTTAGTATTAGACAACAGTGCCAAGATTCTGCTCTCTGTGGTATAGGCCATCTCAGCGGACGATCCATAATGAAAACAGGTCAAATCACAGTGGCAGACAGTGCTCATTTCTATGAAGCTCATAGAGCAACACTTTTGTCAGTCAGTATAATTGGCCTTTGGGTCCTCCTAGGCCCGTCTTCCAGCCACAGAGAGTGTTACATGAGAGCTAAGGCCTGTGGAGGAAAGGAAGAGAATGAGGTTCATTATCAGTGAATTAATCGATTTCACCTCCAACTTCCTCCTCATCCTCTCCCTGTGTGAGTGCAATGCCTGTGGCAGTGTTCCCTGGAGAGCTGTCCCGTGTACAGTATGTCTCCTCCTCCAGGGCTGGGAGCTGCGATGTCACTGCTGCTGAGACACAAATCGCAGGTGATCTCCACAGACAAGCCTCTTCCAGATGTTTGTTCCCAGGCTATGTACTTTCTCAGGTGGTTCTGAGACAAAGCAGCAGAACAGAACAACATGGCCGACCTACCTGCAGCAGGGTCTCAGTCACTCTCTCGGTCGTCTATGGAGATTTACCCCATAGAGCTCCAAGGTCAGATCACTGCAATTAAGGGCTCCTGCTTTGACCTCCGGTCCTCTAACGATATAGGAAACTACATAGCACCGTTAATGTGTTATGGTAATTTATTGAGATCTACTGTGGATAGAGCCTGATGCACAGTTGACCTCTGCTATGAGTGCATGTACACAGTTTGGCTCTCTGTGCCCCGGCTCACACGGAAACCTGTGTAGGGGAAATTACATGTGAAATCAGCCTGGGAGGAAGTCATGCAGGCTAATGGATGTTCTCAATGCTTATTCAATCATGTCTCAAGAGGGTTAAGAGCCCGGGCACACTGACCCATGCGACCCATGTGACAGACGGACGGACGGACTCACCTGGGTGGGCAGCATCTTGAAAGTTGTTGTATGTTGGATTAATTGTCAAATTAATTTGAACCTCACATTAACAGATGTAAACATGAACTGTGAAAAACACAAATACCTCTTTATTAAGCATATAATTCAATTGGCGAGGTGTAACCTGAGCATTTTCATTTGAAAGTAATTGCAGGAGGGTAGTGATGAATTATTAATGCAGTGGCAGCAGTCGGATCAGGATTGCACAATAGTTATGCAGTGTGATTAACTTCCAGCTAATTGTCAGTAACAGATCAGTGGAAATAACTTCCTCATTTTGTCCTAAGTGACTTCACACATCTGTCCTCTGTTTGTCCATTATTTGTCACGGTATTAGACTGTTGTCACCAAACACCGTGAGCACCCTTGTGAACAGTATTTCAGTCATAGTTCATTTTCTACTTGAGTAAATAAAGGAACCCAGGACAGCTGTACTCTCCATCTCTATTGGCTGGGACCGCAGCCAGGAATTCTACACACACAAAACAGCAGATATGTCAGACAATCTACAAACTCACACACACACAAACACAAACCCCGCCTGATGTCCAAGTCTAAAACCAGCTAAATGTTTCATGCCGAAATGTTAAATCTTTGCATCAAACAGACTGAACTCGCTAGTGGAGGTTCAGGGAGCGTTAGCGTTTGAGAGGCTGACACACAACACCACGCAGGGCAATCCCATGCCTGAAGGCCCTCATGCATTTTCAATTGGGGGAGGATGCAGCAGTCACTCTCTACATATTGTACTGTAGCCTTGTGTAGTAACCATGGCAGTAGCTGCGTGTGGAACTGGGTGCCACTTGCCCTGACACAGGCGTCCCTGAAGGAGACTTGTACATCTGGCTGGTGCCTGCCTATTGAAATAATATGCTAATTCATTCTCCATACAGTATGTGCTCTTGCCACTTCAGGGGGAGTCACATCTCTTTACTAATTGAAGCATTTTGAAATATTCCATTCAGGTAACCTCCATGTTCAACTAGCCCATTGTTCTTGATCTGGTTACCTGGAAACTAAAAAAGTAAAAAGAGGCCCCACTTCACATCATCACAGGCAGGCAGGGAGGCATTGATGGAATGAATGGCAGTGTCTAAGATCTCTGCTGGTTTATAGATGAAACCACCTGGAGAAATCGATGTGTGCTTTTGTGTGTGTGATGACTGTTGGCTAGAGGTGAACTTGGGGAAACATAAAGCCTCCTGTGTTATGCTCCCTGCCTGCAGAAACTCCACCTACTGCATGAAGGTGTCCATGTCCTTGGCGGTGGAGGAGAATGACGAGGGCCTGTGCTTCAACAGTAAAATACGCCACCTGGAGAAAGCCGAGATCACTAAAAGCAAGATGATCAACTGCCCCGACATCGAGGATTACCTCGCCCCTTACAAGCAGCCCCAGATGACCTGGTTTAAGGTAACAACCCTTATTCTCTGAAAATTCCCATAAGGCTCTGGTCGAAAGTAGTGCACTGTATAGGGAATAGGATGCCATTTGGGATGCAGTGCTAGTCTTTGTATATGAACCGATGAAGGTCAGCTCTGGTGGACTAATGGGTATCTTATTAAACTAAACTAAAAATAGTTGAAAGTGACATGATGTAACATGGTGTGTGTGGTGTTGATGTGGTGTCCTGTCTGTCTAGGAGTGTGAGAAGAAGACATGGCGGAGCTCCATCATGGTGAACACCACCAACATCTGGTTCCCTGAGGTGCAGGAGGACGACGGGGGGAACTACACCTGTGAGCTCAAGTATGGCAGCCGGGTGGTGAGAAGGACCACAGAGCTCAAAGTCACAGGTGAGCCCCCCATATCATGTGGTGTGTTTGTGTCTGTCTGTCTGTGTGTGTGTGTGTGTGTGTGTGTGTGTGTGTGTGTTTGTGTGTGTGTGTGTGTGTGTGTGTGTGTTTGTATGTGCACAATGCTAAAAAGAGTTTGACAGATGGCCACGATTATCATTTAGAATGACGTGATCTGAAATCAGCTGCCGCGAACAGTGAACGTAAAGATTTACATCAATGTCCAAATGCAGGATGCACTTTTGCACTCTTACACTTAATATTCTGATGCCCCTTCCTCTCAAAGTTTGGTAGATCAAAGATAAAACACTGTGCGCTTGCTGTAAACCGGATGCACTGCGGAGACACACCATTTATCACAGGAGCATAGTGGAGCGTCACTGTGTGTCTGTGATGCATCAGCCCTCAGTGTAAACGCTGGCATCCACCGTGACGTGAGATGGATTTATTTATTCACATTTTGGGCTTGTGCCTCCTCTGCTGCCTCTGTCATGAAGCAGACAGACAAGCAGGCAGGCTGGGATTCCAGGCCAGTGAGTCTGACCCTTGGGGTGTGTGCTGGGTCCCTACTGCAGGAAGAGCAGCTGCCAACTGCAGTGTGAAATCAACCCCCCAGCTCATTCACCCTGCCTGCCTGCCTAGCCCCCCTCTGAAACAGAGCGGAGCCAATCTGCTGGAGCCCCAAGACTGGACTAGGCAGGCAGCACTGACTCTGACTCTAGCTACACTACAAACAGAACAGAAACATACGGAAACTACACACAACCACGAGTCCACCATATACATACAGCAATGGAACTGAAACAGATAGGAGCCTATACCAGACAATACAGAGTGAAAGACAGTTATATCACCATGTAAACTGCAACACACACACACACACACACACACACACAGGGCCGTAAAACCTCTGAAATGCTATTTGGAGAACAGCAAAAGCAAGAAAAAATTACCCCAGCCATTATCACATTGCTGTAACTTAATTCACCTCAGTCGACCTACAAACACATAGCCTATTAGCTATACAATTAGCCGCTACACATTAACTCAGCACGCGATTAAAAACTATAATTGAATACGTACAGAGGGCTCTCTTAGCAGATAAAGTATTTTATTAACAAAAGGTAAACAAATACATTTGCTTTATAGGACCTTTTTTAGTTGTTGCAGTTGTACACCTAATTTGCTGCAATTCTACAGATTTTGCCATGTTTGATATAGGGGACTTGGAGCGGTTCTGGCCAGGCTCCATCCGATATGTCTTTGTACAGCGCACTCTGTGAACGGCGCAACATCAATTGCCTTACACTCCCTAAAAGCGCTGGTTGTCCCGATTCATATACTGTACGCTATTGCAAGCGAAGCTGTGAGATTTCCTGTGCCTGTGAAACTCCCAGCTGTGCTTGCAGTAGCGCATATGGAACGGGAGAGTCTTGTGGATGCAACAATAGTTTCATCTCGCTGTAATGTTCTCAGGTGGGTTTATAGCTCTCAAAGGGGAAAAATACAAAATAATTTCATAGAATTTAAACAACACCAACTTATTTTGGTCACAGACGGATGAAATCACTTAAAGCTGAAGTTGTAACGAGTCTGCACACATTTGAATGGTGTCTCAGCGCAACTCAGAGAACATTTCATTAATATGAAATGTTGCCAATATTGTACCGTAACTAAATATGATCATATTTATTTTACAGTTATAAGAAAGGTGAAATCTTATAGTAAGTCATTTATAATTAAAACTCTATTGCCCCACTTTTGTTGAATAGGAAGAAAAAAAACATATGAGTTTTCATATTTTCATAATATTAGTATTATGACTTGCGCTTGTGTCCTCAAAAGTGAGTATACCTCAGCAATTTATAACAATTTTTACCAGAAAGGTGAGTTCCAGACCTTTCTAAAACTATGCAGCATTACCAATTATTGTTTATGGCCATCTCATGAAAAATAATTACTTTTGGGTATGTCTATTTAGGCGGAAATCAAAATGTTGCACTATCATTCAAGAGGTTTATATCTGAGCGAAAGTGACTAACAAAATCAATGGGGGCCCCCTGGAGGTCAGGGCCCCTGGGCACGTGCCGTGCGTGCCCAGTCGGTAATTCTGCCATGATTACTACAAGTTTAGATAGCTGGCTAGACTAACTAGAATAATTTACCAATCTATTTTTGTTTACTTACATGGGCTGATTGAGTGACTGTCTGTGAGGTGGCATAACAAGACAAAAACTGCTGATGCACAACCAAATTTCGAAATTGCACTTTGTGTATTTTATTATTCTAACTCTCAACAGTAAGTTGAGACCCCGACTGAGTGATTTTTTTATTTTTATAATAATAATATGGAGGTCCGGACCTCAGTATCTTCATATGTAGCTACAGCCTTACACACACACACACACACACACACACACACACACACACACACACACACACACACACACACCATTTTACATGTTACAACTCAGGGACCAAAACAGGCACAGTACTATGCTTCACTAAACAACAGTATTCAATGAGCTAGCATTACAAAGCCAGAACAGAGGTGGTAGCGGCAGGCTAATAAAATCTGCAAAAATGAAAGACATCTGCTTCACTGAAATGTGAAGAATATGCTTGTCTTGTCAGTTAACTGAGCCATTGTTTGGTCACTTACTCACATGCCTTCTGCCGAGCTAAGCGCTAGGCGTGCTAGTTCCAGTGAGTGGTGTAATGTTGGAGCTGGATTCCACATGGTTTACAGCCTGCCTGGGGTGCTGACCCGTAGGATCAGATGCCATGTTAGTGTGCTGCTGGTTGGGTGGTGAGCCAGGGTCAGACAAGGCCTGGGTTAGTTAGCTTTAAGCACACAGAGAGGTCAATCAGGACACTCAGGCTTCCAGGGGGCAGGGGGTTTATCCTTGGTCAGAATTAAACTGCCCCCTCCACCCTAAAAGAGCCAGCAGCCTGTTTGGTTATAGGTCAAAGTGAATCAGAGGGGTTGCACTGTGGGTAGAATATAGCCACCATGGACTCAGTGGACGAGGCTGTTGGGGATGTTGTGAGAGACAATAATAATATATTTAAATACTTGCCTACTTGCTTAGAGGAGTAATAATAATGGTGTTGCTGGCCAGGCACTGTTTTAAGCTACCCTGTTTGGGTCCATATGCCTTGTATTACTGTAGCATTGTATGACACCCTTGTTTATTTCAGTATTCAACGAGCGTCAGGTAGCTTAGCAGGTAAGAGTGTTGGGCCAGTAACCGAAAGGTCGCTGGTTTGAATCCCGAGCCGACTAAGTGAAAGAACCCTAATTGCTGGATAAGAGCGTCTGCTAAATGAATAAAGTGTAAAAATGTATTTCACTATCCTAATGCGACATGGTAAGAGGCAACAACAGAGCCAACAATAAGGCCTTGGAAGGAGCCTGAAGGGCCAATCTGCTACTGAATGGCCTGCAGTATAATAGCAAAACAGTACTGAACTCACTCAGAATGGAGGGGAGGCTAAACCTTGGCAAAGGATCAGATTTGTGCCCAATAACCAGTATGACCAAGAAAAGCCTCTTCTCCCTCTCCACAGTCAGCACCCTGGTCATAAATATTTAAAAATGCATTTCAAAGTAAAATTCCTCTTATGAAAGAACATTGCATTCAGGCTAAATTTAACAGTCACTGCGAGAGGTGAGTTACCACGGTCATGCGTCTCCAAAACTCATTCGAATATTGTAACACCTTCCGCAGCTGGTTAAGTCAACAATGGGAGAGATGATGGGCTGTGCATGAATCCTGAATCCTCTCTCCCTCTCTCCCGCCTTCTCAGCTAGGCCTGTCAGTTCTGCCTTTAGACTCTAGCCTCTTGGCTACATTTTTACCCATATGGAAACCCCATGACCTATTTATTTTATTACCTCATAATTCATCATGAAATTGGCTGTGTTCACATGGGCTTTGTCCTGCTCTTTCCCCAGATCAGTGTGACTGCTTTCTATTTTCTTAGGAGAAGTGAAATGGAGAACAAGAAAAAGTATCCTTTGGGTCTTTTGGGGAAAATATGAGCCCTTTAATTTAAGAAACATGGTAGAGTAAGGAGCAGTTCAGTCCAGCAGATAGAATTGCTTCCCAAAAAATGTAATATTAAGTGGTTTTCTAGCGACAGAAAACTATGTGCGTCAGAGAGAGTATGATTTTTTACCAATGGTGCTCGAATGTCCTCAAGGAAAGGTTAGTCCATCAAATATTAAGATGCCTACAGAACAAAAATAAAACATGCATGATTCTAAACTAAATGTATATTTCTGTGGTGAGGGAAATGATTGTCAATGGTACCGATACAGATACCACTGAAAACAGCCGAGAAGATGTAGGGCCTGTATGCCATTTATAAAATATATGCACTAAACCATTTTAAATACTTTCACTGAACTGTATTTAAAGTATATTGCAGTTTTGAAATCTAGTGTATCTTTGTGATTGCTATATTTCTATACTATAAATGTTTATAAATGGCTTTAAACGTAGTACATTACATTACCTGTGATTATCCTCCCTCCTTTACTCAGGGAATCTGAGCTGAGTCACATATCTTTTAGCCAGCATATGAATATCAAATAATGCCCAAAATGGATTTTACTTGTTTCGACACTGAAAATGCATTAAGATTGAATAACGAGACACACACAACCCATAACACTGTGGTCAAACCTTGGATAGATCACATTACAAGCAAGTGAAGCAGATACATTCAATTTGGAGTTAAGCCTACTGCTAAAGCAGATTGAAGTGGTGACATATCTAAATGCGTGTGGTCATGGGTCCTTAAGTAGTGCAGCTACGCATTGTTCCTGCGGAGGAGAGGAGAGGAGGGCGAGACTGCAGTGATGGAGAGGAGGAGAGGAGGGGAGGAGAGAGGAGAGGAGAAGAGTGTGTGATAATAAGCTAATGGGAAAGAGCAGGATGTATGGCCTGTCTCTAGACACCAGAGTGTCCTGTTTGTCTTCATATGCCAGGTGACGCCATCGGACGATAAACACGTTTGTTTCAGTGGAGTCAAAAGCTCTGGAATACTTGGGTTTCATGTTAAATAAGTCCACACCTTGTCAGGACACACATAACGGCCGGGTGTCTTCCCCAGATGAGGCGTGACAGGGCTGGCGTCGAGAGGAAGCGATTGCCAATCACTCTCTCTTGCCAGAGGGGGTTACCTTTTCTCTCCTTTCACACACACACACACTGGGGGGGGGGGGACATAACACTGTACTGAGGACATGTCCCTAAACCTTGTCCCCAAGCAACTGCCTTTGTGAGTGCTTTTATATTACACCTTTAGCGGATTTGACAGAAAGAATTGTGTGAGATTCAGAAACTATTGCAAACATGAGATTTGACTAAATTAGGCTTTTGCCATATTGAGTAAATATTAACACTATAGGCCTACTTACTTTAGTTGAATCCCAATACCTTATATTATCTCAAGTTTACTCATTAACATTCTGAACAGTACCATTGGAGGACTTTTACTCTGGAGGTACCTCTTAAACTTGAATAGTCACTTTAATAACTCTACCTACATGTACATATTACCTCAATTACCTCGACTAACCAGTGCCCCCGCACATTGACTCTGTACCGGTACCCCCTGTATATAGCCTCGCTATTGTTATTTTACTGCTGCTCTTTAATTATTTGATACTTGTATTTCTTATTATTTTATATAGTATTTTTTTTTGTGATTATTTTTTTTCTTAAAACTGCACTGTTGGTTAAGGGCTTGTAAGTAAGCATTTCACTGTAAGGTCTACACCTGTTGTAT